TAGTAAAATGTTCCACCTCTTCTGCTTTTCTCGAAGCATTAACAATTGCATTTACCTTACTTGCTCTTGCATTTTTTCCACCTACTCTTAATTTCTGAAATCATTATTTTATTTCTACTTTTTGCGGAAGTCTGCCATCTTTCCTTTCTAATCTTCACTTCTGAGTTTCTCTACTACTGCTACATAAGACTCCTTCACACCTCCCACCATGTTCTTAATCTTTGTGTCTCATTTAAGTTTACTTTATTTATATTGAGAGAAAGCACAAACAAGGGAGGGATGGGGTGGGGGGGAGAGAGAATCCCAAGCAGGCTTCACACTGTCAGTGCGGACCCTGATGCAAGGCTCAAACTCAAGAAACCGAGAGATCGTGACCTGAGCTGAAACCAAGAGTCAGAAGCTTAAATGACTGAGCCACTCAGATGCCCCTTGTCTCCTTTTAAAATAGGAACACCTGCCTGGCTCAGTCAGTGGAGTGTGTAACTCTTGACCTTGGGGTTGTGAGTTCGAACCCCACACTGGGTGTAGAGATTACTTAAAAGTAAAATATTTTTTAATTAATTAATTAAAATATCAAGTCTGTAGCTGTCAGCTCTTGTGAGCACTGTTCCTTATTTTCTCTTTAATTATAATAAATTTGTGAGGAGTTCAACTATAATCCTATTGCTCATGTCTTATTTAAAATAAATATTCCCTGGGGTGCCTGGGTGGCTCGGTCCACTGAGTATCTGACTCTTGGTTTCAGCTCAGGTCATGATCTCACTGTTCATGGGTCTAAGCCCCATATCAGCCTCTGTGCTGACAGAGCCTGCTTGGAATTCTCTCTCCCTGCCCCTTCCCTCTGCTTGCATGCACATGCACACTCTCTCTCAAAACAAATTTTAATAAATGAATGAACAAATAAATACATACATACATAAATACATACATACATAAAATAGATAATCCCCAACTTTGTGGAGAGCGGAGTTGGTAGCTGATATTCTCTTGTTAAGGTCTGGCTCCGCTTGCTTTCACTGTTCCCACAGAGTCATTCCAAAAACTGACTTACCTTCATAGGTCTGCCTTTTCAGATCCCACACATCTATCTGAACCTTCTCTTCCCTGGACTCTCACTACCCCATCTTGCTCAGTCTGGGCTCTACTCCTAGTACTTTCTCCTGGGTGTGGAGTTCTACCTTGGAAGGGACATTCAGTGTATTAAAAGTACACAATGATAGTGCCCAAACATAACAGGCTGCTCGCCCTCACCCAGGAACGAGACATCCTATGGAACCAATCTCTGGTAGGGATGCACATTCCAACTGGGCCCTCCATACTTTCTGATGGGTATCTGTGGCTGATTCGGGGTCCTCAGATCTTCCCTCACCTCCTTCTAGGACTACTTCTACACAGGTCTTACAGCTGTCCAGTCGTTTGTCTTGTCCACACGTATGCTGAGAATGGCAGGCATACCTTACAACCTGGTTTTAATGCAGACATTATGTGTGCCTTTGGAGTTTAGCTTTCCCATTGCTCTATGTTTTTTTTTTTTTTTTCATGGAGAAATTTGAGCTTTAAAAACTGTCACCACTGGTGGTCTCTTCCCAGAATTCACTGCAAACTCAACTTATAATACTTCTAGCGCCAAAACAATAAGTTAACATTTTTATATTACTTAAAATACTAGTAAGTACATGAAAAGACTCCAACTCCCCCCAAATAGTCGCCCCTACCAATGTTTTCTGTAAATTTTCAACCACTGCTTTTGTTGTTTTGCATGAAATAACTTTAGTGATTTAAATGAAAAGGGTTTAGCAATACTTTTTTCTTAGATTATCATTAGCTCTTTGTAAACATGTCATAAAATATATATGCAAAAAAGAGAGTTGATTAATGAAACCCTCATGTACTTACCAAGAGCTTCCCAGCACTAAATTTAAATTAATTTTATCAATAAATTATCTCCCCGGGGGCGCCTGGGTGGCGCAGTCGGTTAAGCATCCGACTTCAGCCAGGTCACGATCTCGCGGTCCGTGAGTTTGAGCCCCGCGTCGGGCTCTGGGCTGATGGCTCAGAGCCTGCAGCCTGTTTCCGATTCTGTGTCTCCCTCTCTCTCTGCCCCTCGCCCGTTCATGCTCTGTCTCTCTCTGTCCCCAAAATAAATAAACGTTGAAAACAAAATTTTTTAAATAAAATAAAATAAATAAATAAATTATCTCCCGGGGCGCCTGGGTGGCTCAGTCGGTTAAGCGGCCGACTTCGGCTCAGGTCACGATCTCACACTCCGTGAGTTCGAGCCCCGCGTCGGGCTCTGTGCTGACCACTCAGAGCCTGGAGCCTGTTTCAGATTCTGTGTCTCCCTCTCTCTGACCCTCCCCCATTCATGCTCTGTCTCTCTCTGTCTCAAAAATAAATAAACGCTAAAAAAAAAAAATTTTTTTTTAATAAAAATAAAAAATAAATTATCTCCCCCCAAAGTCTCTATTTCCATTAGGATTTACAAGTGAAACTTCCAACTGGCACAGCACGGTGTAAACTGCGTCTCACCAAAGCCTTCAAATCTCATCACTCCTACCTCCGCATTACTATCCCCAATCAACCCTCATCATGTCTCACCATGGCCACTGCGAAAACAGCCATCCGTTTCGCATCTGCGAAAACAGCCTATGTCCCTCTTCAAACCATTTTCGAATAACGTATAAACAATTTGAATATACATGCCAAGGGTAGCTTTCTAGGGAGAGGATGTCCAAGGAGTCCTTGGCCCCCAAAACTTTAAGAACCAATAGAGCTATAACCTGTTTAGTAGTTATAGGGGATACAGTCAACACCAATAAAGCTGGAATTGTCTACAAGTTAGATGGGACATAGTGAATAGTCTACCATTTGCTCTAGGTTCCTGAATTCCGTTCAGGAATTTCAAGACACAAAAGAACATAAGGGAAGATCCCTACTCGGAACTAAGTAACATTGCTATTTGAGTTTCACCTCCCTGGGCCTCAATTTCCCCATTGAGAGTCTGACTATGGATGATCTTGAAGTCAACCTTCAGATTTCCTAACAAATTTAAAAAAGCTTATTCATTAGGCAACGAACGAACACTCAGCCAACCAAAGGGATCAGTTCGGCTGCTGAAAACCCTCATTTGCAGTGATATTTTCAGGGGTTAAAACAGTCAGTAACTAGTGCCTTTATGAAATAAAATAGCCTACGACTAAATAAAACTAAAATAATGAGAGGTCCCTTCTAGAATCCCCGATTCTAGTTACAGTTTTAAGACCAATCAGGAACCTGATCTTCTTTGTGCACTGTTGTATCCCAGTGCCTATAACAGTGCCAGCATGTAACACGAGCTTTATAAATATTTGTTGCATGGATACATGGGCCTCCCTTAACCTAATAAACAGTCACTGTATCTTTCATCTTGCTTGGTAATGACTGACACTGTAGAGCAATATGGTTCTCAATAAGCACTGGCAATAGAGAATGGATAAACTATTTTCGCTCAGTAAAACGATGAAGCCCCATCATCTGGGTCCCTACAATCTTGCCAATATAAGCTCGTATTCTTCTATTAGCTCAAATGAGAGATGACATTGGGAAATGGTGATCCCCACTGTAATGTATGCCATCTCTAGGCTGCACTGGAAACAAGATTACAGCCAGCAAAATGAAACAATGGGATTTCTTTCAATAATAAACAAAACTAAATCTGAGAAAGGCGTAGCCGTTAAGGACCAAACTAGCAGGCAGGTCACATAGAACTGAGACTGAGGCAGCCCTCCAGAGAAAAAAAAAAAAAAGTACCAGAATTGGAGTTAGGCAGATTTGGGTTTAAATTCCATTTCTACTTTGGTCACCCTAAGTTTCAGCATCTTTATTTATAAATTAGGGCTAAAAACTGTGGTTCCTAGATAGAGCTGCTGCCTGGAGTAAATGAGATCAGGTATGCAAAGCACTTAGCAACTTACTAGACACAGAGAGGTCATGTAATGAATTCTATTTTCTCAAGCCCCTCCCAGTCATCTTAGATAAATAAAAACAAAGAAGAAAAAAGTAATACTGAGGAAGAAAACAAAAGAGATACCCTACAAGGGCACCTAAGTTTTTACACATGTTCTTTCTCCTTTTGCTTCATACATAAAGACTAGACACCCTCAGGTAGCTAAATGCTAAGTTACAGAATTTTAAGCAGCCTCCATTTAACTTAGTTCCCTGAGGTCTGAGAATACTCTAAGAGCAGATCTTAAATTATAAAACAAGCAAACAAAAAAACAAGCAGAAAACATATGGGGTTACTAGGCTGAGGCCAAAGTACCACCAAGTCAAACCCCAAAAATCAAGTTACCACCAAACATAGTTCTCCCGGTGGATTTCAGATTTGCAATCTGTTAAGAACAAGCAAACCCTGTCTTTGGATCTGTTCTTTTATACAAAAAGTGGAATAACATAATGGCTACTGAACACAAGCTCCTAAGCAAGATGGTTCCAGAGTGTGTCCTAGGGCCATGACTATGGGTTAGTGACAGGTTATCACTGGGAACAGTTAAGGAGCCCACTCTACAACCAGAGGGCCTAAGTTCAAATCCTACCCCACCACTTAGTAGTAATTGGGACTTTGGACAAGTCCCGTGACTTTTTCCACCTCAGTTTCTTCATCTGTAAAAATAATCTCTCTTAAGATTTATGTAAGGATTAAGGTGACAACTGAGAGGCACTTAGAAGAATGCTTGGCACATATTAAAACATTACATGAGGTACGCCTGGGTGGCTCAGTCAGTTAAGTGTCTGACACTTGATTTCAACTCAGGTCATGATCTTACGGTCCATGAGATTGAGCCCCATGTCGGGCTCCAAATTGGGAGTGGAGCCAGTCTAAGATTCTCTCCCTGTCTCCCTCCCCCTCTACTCCTCCCTCCAGCCACCCCCCCCCCCCACCGTCCCGACCTGAGGTATGTGTGCACATGCTCTCACTCTCTCTTAAAAACAAAACAAAAACTACATAAATATTTGGGACACTCTATGAGAATGTTAACAGCCAACGGTTCATCCTAAGATTGTTGAGATAAATCAAACAAGATACTCCATGTAAAGAGTATAGCACTAGACCACAAATATGGTATGCATTCAATAAATGTCTACTAATATCACAACTACAACTCAGCTATTACTATTGTATTAAAGGCATCCAGAACTCTTCAAACCATGATGGCTAAAAACCAAACCAATATAATTACACACATACTTGCATGCGTGCACACGCGCGCGCGCACACACACACACACACACACACACACAACTTAGACAAACACACACACAAGCAGATTTTAGTTTGTATTTTCCTCACTCTGTCTGAAGGCTTGAACACCATATTCCGCCATTAAGTTGATTCCCATGCAATACCTCATGTCAGATTTTTACTATGGTCTACCTCACTGTCCTGTCCTAGTTTCTCAAGACCCTAGTTTTTGCTAAACAATAATGGACAGAAATCTATTTAAGGCAATCTAAGTATTATTCATTGTGTGTAACAGAACTGCCTATAGGATTTAAATTTTAAATGTCTCCATAAAACATGGGGCATTTAAGACACTAAGACAGGTATGTACATTTAAATGAATCCAGCATCCTAAACCAGTAGGTGCACATTAAATATTCATCACACCAGCAAAACAGTTGTTCACAGCATATTTTTTATCTGCCACAATGCCCTCAAATACTTCCTATCCTCCCATTCCTAACACGAGATTTACCTCAGGGCTGGACCCACACACAGGGCTACTGAGGGTAGATATCAGAAGGACCCTAAGAGCACAGCACTTCTTTAAAGACTCAGCACCATTTTGTTAATATCGCGGGCCCTGAAGAACCTCTACTGTGGAAAGCAGCTAATTGAGGAGGTACCCCGAAACCTAGCAAATTTAATGATGAATCTGAGTTTAAGTTGATAAGCGCAGGCATATACATGCGTTTGAGAATAATCCTCAGCTCCTACTGTAGAAAGCAGCTAATCGAGGCATTATGTGGGAACTTAGGAAATTTAAGCTGACAAATTGGAAACACATCTGAGTTAATATTGGTGAGTAGTCACCGAATTGTAAAATGTACATATCCATTTTGAATAATCTTCAACCTCGTGTGAAAGATTATTATATACAAAAGGAAAATTAATCACGCCCTGCAATGAAGGTAGAGAATAAATATTTGTTGAATGGCTAACAGATGAATTGACAAAGTTGAATGAATGAATGAATGAATGTCAGGACCACTGCTCTCTTATCTTTAAGACTGTAAATCTGAAGGTACAGTTAGGACACACTTAAAACACACACGCACACACACCTAAAGCTACCAAAAAGAAGTTGCTAGAAAATCTATTCTTTGCAGCAAGGATGCGCTGCATCAGGGTACAAGCAACTCTTTATCCTGCAAAAGCACATGTATTTCAAAACCTGCTATAGCCTAGCAATTTTCCCTCCTGACACCCAGAGGATAAACTCTCAGTTCCCCCCAGTATGTCCTCAAGCACATTTGAAATAAAAGCTTCTTTTGAAGACAGGCCTACAAATAAATTATTTCTGTTATGTCACAACTAACGGAGAGAAAGCGCAGAGCTCAAGATGAACAATAATCTAAACCGTTAGATCTGATTTGTAACCTAATGATATTCTGGTACTGGCAGAGGGACACAACAAAGTCCGAGCTATAATAGCGGGCAAGGTGTGCCGTCAGCACTCTTGCAGGACTTTGTATTTTTTTTTTTAATTTTTTTTTTTAACGTTTATTTATTTTTGAGACAGAGAGAGACAGAGCATGAATGGGGGAGGGTCAGAGAGAGGGAGACACAGAATCTGAAACAGGCTCCAGGCTCTGAGCGGTCAGCACAGAGCCCGACGCGGGGCTCGAACTCACGGAGTGTGAGATCGTGACCTGAGCCGAAGTCGGCCGCTTAACCGACTGAGCCACCCAGGCGCCCCGGACTTTGTATTTTTTTAAGCCTCTGGTAATTTGGAAAAGGTCCATGGTACTATTTTTTCTTCCTGTGACTGACACAGCTGATTACACCTTTACATTAAGTCTAATAATGTATATGGCCCTTATTAATCAGAATATGAAAGCGGAAGTTGTTTGGTGAAAAAGCGTATCATTTTACAATACTGAACGCAGGCATGATTGAATAGGGCGCTTCCCTGGAATTCAGCTTTGGTCAAACGGATGGCTGATTACGTGACCCTGGAAGCAATGGATTCCTTTCTCACATTGCTGACCACTCTAGCTCCTAGGTTTTCTGGACGAAGAGCAAATACGTAAGTCCATGTGGCAGCTGTATAGGTCAGACTTCTGCTACAAAAAAAACTATGACCCCCCCCCCCCCAAAAAAAAAAGTAAAAGTATTTTGGTGATGGGCAGCAGTAAGGACTTACTCTCTCAATGGAGTTCAGGTACACTGGATAACTGAGCATAAGCTGCAGGTTGGGGCCAGGATGCTCCACACGTCTCTCATTCTGGGACCAGCACCTGCCAGGGAACCTGGACCATGCTATTCTCATGGCAGGTGGTGGAGCAGAAAGGCCAAGTTAAACCACGCAAGCACGTTCAAGCCCTCTACTCACGTACATCTACTACATTCCGCTGACCAAAGAGAATCACAGAGGTCAGCCCAAAGTCAGTGGGGCAGTGAGGTGTCCACCCACCTGGAGGCATAGCAGAGTTACACAGCCAAGGGGCAGTAGAGCAGTTGCAGGAGGCATATATCACATCAGCACAATAATTGGGTCCACCACACTTGCCCTCCTGACAGTCTCCAGTCCCTACCACAGGTAGGTGACAAGCTAAGGGAGACTGTCACTTGCCAGTGGAGTGGCCACCGTAGAGACAACTCAATTCCTCAGATGGAGCTGAGAGGAGAAATCCACCCAGAAGAGGTGGGAGGAGGGGTGGGCAGCTAGACTGGAACTTGCCTTCTAGCTGGCTGTGTGTAACAAGCAGATGGCTGTTTTCACGAAGGTCACATGCCTTAGAGGATATGGAGGCTAATGGCAAATACCAAGGGGGGTGGTTTTCACAATGGTAAATAAGGTCTCCCTTGGCTGGCACTGCCCGTGACAAGCCCCCCAAGAAGAAATCATTCCTTTAGCCTTTAGTTGGTTCTTGTCCATTCCTTACTCCTTTTTCCTTACTTCGGGAATCTCAGGAGCTCTTTGCAACCTTCCAAGCAAATGATTACCAAGTCAATACTTTCAGCCTTGCAGTCGAATCCTAAATTCCTCCTGCCTGTGGATCACTTCTTCCTGGATATTATAGTTGCACCTCGAATTTACATTGGGTCGAGAGCTGAATTTAACAGCTTTTTACACACATCTTTTACCTCTTCCTCTATTTTCCATACCCTGCTATTTTTCTTATTATCTCTTGTGCCTCCTACTGAGCACACCCGGGGCTCCAACATACCATTATATTCCCAGTGGCAGATATTGCCGGTTGCCTGGCCTGGCCACACTCCAAGAGCCATTCCCAGTGAACACAGAGAGCCATCTTCCAGCTACCACGTTTCCAGACACATGCAGCTACAGAATGGACACGGGACCCACTCCCAAGGGGAAAGGTCTAAGGTGAAGTGAGCAATGGAGCCTCTGGAAAAGGTCTAACTCCCTGACAGAAAGAGGGGTATGGAAACTTCTTTTTCTGCTATTCCCTGAGGCACTGTAATGAAACCAGGAGAAGAAATACCTTCAATGTCTGTGCATCTGATCAAAACGCTTCCATGGCTCCCAACTGTCAAGTGAGTAAAATCTAAACGCCTTAGCTCAGTATTAAAATGTCTTCATCATCTGGTGTACATTTGCACTGCCAGCTGAAATCTTCCTATTCCTGTTCATACCAGGAGAGAATAATTACACAACTAGCCCCTGGTATTGGGTGCTTACGACGTGCCAAATAGCCTGCTAAGCAAGTTACGTATAATATTCACTCAATCCACGCAGCCCTATGTGGTCAGTGTTATCAAACCCATCTTACAGAAGACAACAGGACCAGAATTCACAAGCAAGTTGCTCTCCATAAAGCGCACGCCTTTCAACCATTATTTCCTGGGTGTTTTCTGTGTGCCACATGCTATTTTACTCCACATCCAGTTTCCTCTTCGAGTGCACTCTTCTATCTGTCCTACTCCTTTAGGCTGCTTCCTCGAGGCTCAGTTCAAAAAGGCACAAAAGATGCTTCCTATCAAGATGCAGCAGAAAGTACTAAGTAATCTCGTTCTCCTCTGAAAACATTGCAATCATTTTTCCTTTCTTCCCTTATAGCCTTCTGTCCTTCCTACTTGTACTATGGTATTTAACTACACCTTATGCCAAATTTGAGGCTGCAAGCCCTTGACTAGGGTAAGATCTGCCACTCATGCATTTTGCAACTTTTTTGACCCCTGTGATAATTTTAAGAGACAATATTTACTGAGCCTCTACTATGTGGAAGACGATGAGCTAATACCTTGCACACTCTTTCAGTTAGTCCTGCGTTAGCTTTATGAATTCTATTACCCTCGCTTTATAGGTTAGACAACAAAGTGGGGCAAGATTGAGGCACCTACCTGTCTAAGGTCACATACCTAATAGGTAGCAAAACCAGATTCGAATCCAAGAGGTCCAAAAAGGAATAATAAAATATGTTTAATGTTACATTACGCCTCAGTTTTCATCAACTAAGATATCAAAAGGTCTAATGCTAAAGCATTTGCATCAAAAGGTTCCATTAGGAGTGGACCCAAGTTTAAAAGCTTTATTCACTGCCAGATTTGAACAACAGGCTTGGTTTTGAGAATAACCTTCACTGCGGTACCCTGGCCAATTTCTACGTGGGAGGGCAGGAAAGGGAGGAGTTTAATTCAGTATTATCTAGGCCAGTGGATCTGTGCCCAATGGACTATATGTTCCAAAGATTCAGGCCTAACTTGAAATCTCTGTGTTTTACGAAAAGGACGGTTCATCTTACATTCAAAGAAATTGATTCCTGCCTGGGAAGGTTATGATGAGGTTGATAATCCACATAAGGGGTTCTCAAACTGGATCAAGGGACCACTTGCAGAAGAATTATCTGGGGTGCTTGAAAAAAAATAGATTTCACAGTTAAATAGGGACAGGTACCCCTTACAAAGGACCTTGGGGTTTCTGCTGAGCTGCATGATTTGAGAACCCCTGGATTCCAGTATACTCCATACCTCAACTATTAATACTTCTGTACCTTACCAGTTTAAAAATAACTATACAGGGGTGCCTGGGTGGCTCAGTCCGTTGAGCAACCAACTTTGGCTCGGGTCACAATCTCAACAGTTCATGAGTCCAGGCCACACATCAGACTCTGAGCTCACAGCTCAGAGCCTGGAGCCTGCTTTGGATTCTGTGTCTTGCTCTCCCTCTCTCTTTCTCTCTGCCCCTTCCCCGCTTGTGCTCTCTCTCTTGCTCAAAATAAATAAATACTTTAAAAATGTAAAAAATAATAATAACAACCATGAAAAGAAATCAGTGGATTTTGTCATCGTTTGTGGCTTTCATCTCCAAAAACTACAATTTTGAAAAGCTCCAGACTGTTAACAATATAAGTCTCCTACATATTTTGTTGCATCCACACAAAAGGCCTGATCGTAAAGAACACATTCTATGAGTTTCTGCAGTGTCTGTTGAGAGTTCTGTTTATATAATGATATCAGGCCGGTATCCAGGTAGGATTACAGATACTCAGGGAGTAGGAAGCACATTCCGAGGAAAGCAGCTTGCCTTTCAATAATCTGATAAACAGGCGTTAACAGAAGCACCCCAAGTGCTGGATGCCTGAGCCCGGGTGCCTTTGTTGAACCATATGTCAGAGTGCTCCTAGCTCTACATGAGATCAAAAATGCGGTCTCCCAGATAAAGTCATTCTCTGAGCTTCTTGCCGGAACAAGAGGGAAAGAACGGGCTTTGCTTACAAGAGTGGTATAAATGTGCAGCTCAGAGTTTGAAAGGGTAAATGTCATCCTGATAACATTCAATAATATATAAACACAGACACATACATATGCAATATGTGCACACACACTCTCACGTATATAGGTACACACACATTTAACTCTGCTATCAACATGGTATTCAACACACATACACACACACACACACACACACACACACACACACACACACACACCTTATACCTGGCAGTCTTACACTTAAATCAGTATCACTAAAAAGTTAATTAAAACATAAAATAGGGCACAATAAATGAACAGAATCAACTCCTGGAATTTCTACGGATCAAGACATAGAATGGACCACAAGTAAAAGATATTTCATCAGCTCCTAAATGATGAAAGAGGAATAGGGAGAGCATGAAAGAAAAACACCCAGCTCTCGAGGCCACATCTAAGTTTTGACAATGTCACTGGCATAACATACACTTCTGTCCCAGGGACAGAGCAGAAGCAAACCTGAGTAATGACAAGTAACTTTAATTAAACCCCTCCATCTGCTTATAAGCTTGATGAACTTCAAAACCTACTTGCTCACCAAGTCGGGGTCTTTCCAAGCGGTAATCCTTTCTCATTAATTTTGACAAACTATTAAATTTCCCATTTTTCCCCTGACCAATGGTAGAATGCCCTCTCTCCCCATGATTTACAAGTAGTCTCAGAAATTAGAAAGTGATGTACAGCTTGTACAATTCATTTTAATAGGAATCTGAATGGCTTCCCTTTCCCCTTTTTCAAAATACAAT